ATAACAGAATACAGAAGTTCGGCAGTCGTCTTCGGGATGCCTATTTCAATTACAATGGCCGGGTGTAGCATACAAGCTGTATTCGTTCCAATGACTCGAATCCGGCTTGTGGGTCGGATCATACCTATGGAGACTCGGATCACATCTGGCTCTGATACGCCGAAATATACTTACATCAAAGTTCTGCGGCTTGTTTCCCGCCATGTCGAAATAAAGGTCTAACACCGAAACGTTACCTGGCTGAAATCTGAGACATCTTCCATCTTCACCGGCCGGCTGACACCGTCGAGGACATTGAGCTGCCTCGACGCGGAGATTGAATCTATTGAAATGTGAGCCCATATGTAATTCAGCGGTGGTGGCCCGTGGGTCATGAGACATCCACAGACCGTGATCATACAGCAACGCCGGGTCAGCGAATTGGCTTCTGTGGAACTTGTCATCATCCAACTCCTCAGTGCCCCCCCGGGAAAATCGATTTCGGAGTCATCGGACGCAGCTGAAGTTTCAATCGTACGTGGTAAGGATCCTCCCTGCGAGGTGCGTCACGCCGTGCGTGTGCAACGGCATGACAGACCTTCTTGAATACCATCTTTCGAAGTACTTCCCTCGTTGTAGATTCGGACTAACTGACAACCAACCTCTTGTACCTCTAAGCTGCATTGAACACCAAAAGTAAATCAGTACGCCGGTCTATTTACTTGGCCAAGTTCGAATCATTCCGACACGACCCACATGGGCCCCCGGCTCCCGATGCCTCCCGAGTCCCGAGTCCGACTCCCGAGAATGCCAGTCTCCAGAATGGAATGCTCAGGTACCAGTAGAGCTGGCTATCACAGGATCCCAAAACAAATATTAGGCGTACTGCCTGTTAGTCAGACCTGCCACACGGCTACCATGCGGCGCAATCGCCTCAAGCCCAGGTTGTAGCAAGGTTGTGGAATGGTTGATCAATGGTTGATTGATGAATGAGTCATCATGACAGAGTCAGACATAGACAAATTTATTATTCGTCAACGACCATGTCACCGGACAAAAAAATTGGCGTCCGCGCGACGCCGAGTCCGGACAAAAAGTTGGAGAGGGTCGATTTTCGGATCTGACCTTATGTGGGATAAACACCGGTCCTCATCAGCCTTGCTGTTCTGGGCATTGGGAGGAGGACCACAGTCCTGAGACCGCATTCATTCTTGAGGGGAAGGGCTGTGACTGCCTGTCACATGTGGTCCGGCAGGTTGATCATGATGGATGAGTCATCGGGACACACATGGACAACACTGTCATCGGCTCTGGCTCGGCTCTTGCTCTCATCTCCCATCCCGTCCAAGGGTCTCTGCGGAATCTATATCCGTAATATCTCTACTCAACGAGAGATATTCCGTGAAGCTGGGCCTTCTCATTCGCGCGATATTGGCGCGTGTCACTCTGGTCTTTTTTTGAGCGCCATCCGTGCAATCAGAATCTTCAATACAGTCTAGCTAGACGGGCGCCGACGCGGAGGTTCTGCCGGCATGACTATGCCTAGTGATTCACCTGCTTCTCTCGTACCCATGCTCTCGACATGCCTCCATCCCAGACCCTCGAAACGCTGCCTGGCCTCATCTCTCGGAACGTAGAGAATTGTCCGCTAGATCCCTTCTGCATCTATGCCGACGTTGGGTCTGGCCACATCGTGACTATCACTCAGCTCGAATTCGGTCGAGCTACGCACCGAGCTGCTCATCTGCTTCGTCCGAATCGTGAAGGACAGGACGGGAAAGTCGTCGCCATCATCGCCGAGTCCGACACCATCTTATATCATGCCGTGTCTGCTGGGCTAATGACTGCGGGTCTCGTCGTATGCACTGTCTTTCCTCTTCCTCATAGACATTTTCTCAAGCCTTGAATGAACAGCCGTTTCCTATTTCGCACAGGAATTCCCCCCTTGCGATTTACCAGCTGCTACGTGCAGCTTCGTGCCACCACATCATAGCGACACGCACCACTCTTGCCCCGATCTTGGCTCGACTGGCGCAACACGTCGCAGATGTCGACCCAGGGTTCATGGTGACTGTCGAGGAAATGCCGTCCCTGCGGCAAGTATACCCCAACCTCGGCTCCGAAACCCCGAATTCTGCTTTCCACCCGTATGCGGCGCTTGAGACTCAACCAGGCGCTGACGACGTCTTCATGTATATCCATTCGTCGGGCAGCACGGGTCTCCCCAAAGCTAATGGCTGGACATACCGGTTGCTCAACCACGTCGTCAACGGTACGCATCGTTCCTCGACACCCCTTTTCGTTCTCTTACCTCGACACAGTGTCGGCAATGGATGTACGAGCCTTCGTCCCCACACCGATGGGTGTCATGGGAATGCCGCCATTCCATATCTTCGGCATCGTCGCCCAGCTGATCCGCCCTTTATGCGGGATGGTGGCCGCTGTGTATCCGCCGACGGCCACAACATCTGACACCCTCCCCATGAGTCTGTCTCCCGATACTGTCCTCGAACATGCGCGGAGGACGAAATGCCGGACGCTCAGCACCCTCCCCGCCTTCATGGTGACATGGTACAACTCACCCGACGCATTCGCATATGTGAAGACATTGCATTCTATCGTGCGTCCTACCAGCTTGTTTATGCTAAGCCTGAGGTGAAAACTCGTAGATTTGGGGTGGCGGTCCCCTTCCGAAACGCGTCGGAGACGGCTACGTTGACGCAGGACTACGTCTCCTCGCTGCATATGGCATTACCGAGGTTGGTGTTATCGCCGCGCTGTGTCCCTACGAAGAGGACGCTAAGGATTGGGCGTGGTTCCGCGTCTCGGAGAAAGTCAATGTGAGGTGGGCGCCTCAGGGCGATGGGACGTTTGAATGTCAGATTATTGTGCGTTTATTCCTCTGTTGTTTCTTAACCCCACGGTGCTGATGGAATTTTTTTTAGGCAACGGAGACGCATCTGCCGCTGGTGTTGAATCTCCCGGATGTCAAGGGATACGCGACGTCTGACCTCTGTGTGAATCATCCGATGAAGAAACATCTGTGGCGGATGTGCGTGTTCTTCAACGCTTACTCTGGTACATGAGTAGTAACCCACGATTCAGTGTCGGTCGACTGGATGACAACCTCGTTCATACTTCCGGCGAGAAGACGGTCCCTGCTCCCATGGAGAATCTTATCATGAGCAGCCCGCTGTGCGTACCATCTTCTATTTGTTTCTCCTACTGAAAGCGAATCCTAGCATCAAGGCCGCCCTGGTGTTCGGACATGAGCGCCCACAGACGGGCGTACTCCTTGAGATGGTTCCCGGATCGGAAATCGACATCCAGAATGAGGCTCAGATTGCGGAACTGAGGAATAAAATTTGGTACGTCCAAGAATCCCTCCATTCATGTGGACGTTAACTCGAGGGATCCTAGGCCAGCGATCGAAGAAGCCAACGCCATCGCACCGGGATTTAGCCGTCTCTTTAAAGAGATGATACTTTTTGCCTCTGCGGACAAGCCCCTTCCCCGGGCTGGCAAAGGCACAGTTCTGCGGAAGGCCGCTCTCACGTTGTATGCCCCTGAAATCGATGCCTTGTGAGTTTCCAAGTTCTCAGCAAGTTTCGAGAAGACCCATGGGTTGTAGATACAAGCGGGTCGAGGAACACGCTGTGGACATCATCGAGGCGCCGACTGTATGGAAGGTTGAATCTATTCAGCCATGGTTGTTGGAGGTGGCGGCCAGTGTTTGCACTTTTATGGCATTCTCGCCACGGACAGATCTTCGTCAGCAGGGATTCGACAGGTCTGTAGAGCCTTTCTTTCTTCCTTCACGCTACGGATGATTGATTCCTTTCTCAGCCTCACGGCGACTATCTTTCGATTACACATCACCAAGGGTCTCCGGTCGCGCAAGCTCGAAAAGGAGGCCAAGGCAATACCCCAACATCTCGTGTATTCCCGTCCGACTATCGAAGAACTATCCATCTTCCTCGAAAGCCTGGTCGCTGGGACTCTATCCCAGACCGACCTTCGAACAAACCCCGCGGCTCAGTACGTCGCCCCCATGACCTCCGACACAGTCGTCGAGCTCTGCACAGAGGCTGGTGGAGTTCCACTCATCGTATTCCCCGGCATCCGCGGCACCCTCGATTCAATTCGACCGATCCGCGCACATTTCCGTGGAACCATGTGGGGCATCCAAATTCAAGACTCGACGCCCATATCCCCTTTTGCTACCTTCGCCGCCTTCCTGACGGATAAAATCCGCGAAAAGCGACCACATGGGCCGTATCGCTTGGCCAGCTACTCCGGGGCCTCCGTCCTTGTCGTCGCCGTGGCGAAACTGTTGGAAGAGAGCGGCGAGGAGGTCACACAGCTTTCCTTCATCGACCAATTTCCCTTGTTCTGGACCGTCGAGCCTACGTATGAGGCATTGCGAGATGAGGAGAAGCGTTGTGCGTGGACTTCGCAGGTGCCAACCCGAGAGGTTGGGCTCTTTGCCCATGATCCGCTCTATGGGCCGGAGAGCGATCGGCACAAGGAACTCAAAGCGGTTACGACTGCATTTGCTGCGGGGGAATCACATGAATATGAATTCGAGATGGAAAGGATGGTGATTCGGCAGCGCCAGATTGATTCGTTGCTTGATTTTCTCGCGAGCTTCCTACCCCCGACGAGCTCTGGATCTGGACTTGCCGAGTACGCGGATGCGATCAACCGCTGGTTGTCCTCAGTCAAGGCGCCCCTCAGCGCGTTCACAGCGGAATTTGGGATCGTCGCAACTATGCCTGACGATGTGCGCAGGGAGTGGGGGGATTTGGGTGCCAGTCGGTGTTTCAAACCTGTCAAACATCATTTCCTCGATGGCGTTGGACATTATGGGATTATGGGGGATAAGAGGTTGTCGGAGCTCTTGCAACAGAATGCGTAGTAGAAACTGGTTCTGAATCTGGTTTCAGCTCAATATCGGGTCTGCTGGGCGCTGAAGTGGGTTACGCTCCTGGGCAGAATGGCCTATAGCTATGGCCCAAAAATGGCATCACCGTGGATTGAACACGGGACCTCCAGATGAACAATTTTGTGATCACTCGACTTCAGTCTGTTGCTCTCCCAGCTGAGCTATGACGCCGTACGGGAGAGGTATTCGTCGGTGTGTCTCCTGTTTCAACAGCGGGTTCGGCAACAGGAAATTTGCTTTTCAAGTCGTACCATACGGCAAGATTGCAATCATCCTCCATAGACCGGATTATATGCATGTCCGGACAAGAGCCGCTCCGTCCCTACTTCGAGCATGTGGCTCCACCATTCTGGTCATCATGTCCATCGAAATGCCTCCATTCGAAGTGGATTTACGAGCACTTTTCCAAGTTGGGTCCCAGAATCCCGAGTCGTTGCTAGATATTTCATACAATTTACAAGTACACGGTACATTCGTTCAATCCAACGCAATCCCTTCAGAAAAACTTCTCCATCCCCGCATGCTCCTCAAACTGCGTCGGACACGTCAAAGAGCTCCTCCTCCTAAACATCTGACGAATATTCGCCTCTGCCTCTCCTCCTCCTATCCCGGCGGTCGTCGAGTCATCCTCCGGTACGTGAACACAGTTGTTCGTCCGCACAATAATGTTCTCGACGCCGATCTGATACTTCAGGTGCGCGTAATCGGTGATGGTGGGCGTGACGGTGAGGGATGGCCGGCGCGCGAGGCCCGGGTGTGCGATGGAGAGAGGACGCGAGCACGGGGAGAAGGCTTCGCGGAGCATGAATGCCCGGGCTTCGCTCACTGAGAGCGTGGGGGTGGTGATAGGGGTAAGGGTAGGACACTGCATATTGTTATCTGAAGAGGAGAGTAAGAACGGAGGTTGGTGGGTAGCCAGGCGAACTTACACGATGAGTGTGGTTGGAATTTAGGAGAGCTGAGATGGTAGCGGGTGATTGCTGGAGAAGGGAGGAGAACCGCTCACCTTTTATACGCAGCAGTTTGTGAGACAACTTACCCTGAAGGCTGTGGGATCCGCGACGGGTTCCAGGCGGGCCGCATGTAGCCGCATGTCTCAGAATCGCGGTGGTCCAGAAATGAGACATTCAGAATGATCCTACCAAACAACGGGTCCCCTATACTCTCCTCCGATCCTGCATCTCAAAAATAACCCTCAAAACCTCGCTCCACACGCCCACATCATGATTGAACCCCTCCAGACGCCGCACCTATGTACTGTCTGGCGCGCCAATCCGTCCGACATACCGAATCTCGTCCAGACGAGGAAACAACCGATCGAGATGACGTGCGAGAAGACCCACATCCGCCTCTTCCTGCGGGGGGGACGAATGCAGAAGGAGCTGCTTCAAGTTATGCTCGAGCACGGACGTCTCGTGGATCGGGGGCATCGGCGTGAGAGATGTGAGGTCCAATTCGCCGACGAGGAGGAGAGGAAATTGATGCGCCAGACGCGTGAGCGCTGACAGACTGATGTCTGACGCCATGGGGATTGATACAGTTCGGATGTCCGCCCAGCGCGATGCCAAGTCGAGGAATTCGTCGATATGGAAGGCACGGCAATCCTTGAGCCGGAAGGTCTGCAGCGCAGCGCATTCGGCTAACGGTCTGAGATCCTCGAGGGTTGTGCAGGCAAAGTCGAAAGACGTGAGCGTGCGCGACCAGCGTTGCGCGACGATCTGGCAAATATGCTTGCCTGAGCTATTGTGGATGAGGACAGATTGGAGATCCGGGGACTCGAGTGCGCCGAGGAGTTGCACGGCGGTGATTTCGGACACGGATGAAAGCCGCAGGCACTTCAGGCCTGGGAACGGTGGGAAAGGTGCTTGGAACGGGGGGATGGTGTGAATCGTGAGTGAACGCAGGACGGGCAAGAAACGGTGGTCGAGCGGGCGATAGAGATCGCGTGTGATCCAAGGGACAAAATTGTTGACCGTGAGGTGTTCCAACGTGGAATCGACCTCTGGGGGGATGCGACTCAAATCCGTGTGCGATACATTCATGGCGAGGCAGAGATGCGTGAGGCCCGCCGGCGGGGGAAACGGGGGCAAAATCCCGAGATTCTCCGCGTTAGAAGGTATTCTTGAGGTCCCGAGAGGGAATGGCGCCAAGGATGGTGCCAGAAGCCTGCACCGAAGTTTTTTGAGATTTACTAGGAGAGGCTGGCGACGACTGAGAAGGATATCCCATGTTTGAGGTTGGAGCAGCGCCTGAGTGCCCCATTCAGTGATTTCTTTGACCCAGGCGGCGTGCTTGTCAAAAGACACCCAATCTGAAGCATTGAGTGGGTGACTGAAGCCCTATACTTACTGATCAACGGGGTCGTATGGAAAGTTCGGGACACATACACAGCCATTATTCGCAGATATGTGCATCTGGAATCCCGGGAGGAGTCTCAACAAAGGGAGCAGGTCCCTCAGCGTGCGCCAGAGGACACGCTCTGCCGATTCCGACACCACTTTGCTCGTCAGAACGAGAGCGGAGAGTGATTTCCGGTCATCGTGAATCTTGTCAAAGATGATTTCTTGAAGGTTGATGTTCAAGATACATTCATGGCACCATTGGTGCGTGGTAGCCATGGGTGGTGGTGGTGGTGAGAGAGCGCGCTAGATTACATAAGCTGTCAATCACAAAATCTGTCTTCTTCTGCCACCAACGACATCTGCTTCTCGCCTTCCTGATCATGGACACAGAGGCTCTCAGGACCTTCATGAAAGGCAATGGAATGGATGCAGATCGTTTCCTCAAGATGATGGCCCGCGTAGACTTGAAGTCGGATCCTATCCGCCCAAACGCTCCCACTCCCCCAACCTCGGCCACTGCGTTGTTCGCGCCTAATGCTGCAGCCACGGGCCGGAGACCACAGAACGACAGAATCCAGATGCTTGCGCGAAATCCTGACGGATTGGACGACCTCTGTCCACCCAACACCACCAATCGTGCCACCTGCTTTGTGCGGGGCAATGTCTTCAAAGCTAAGGCCGAGAGACAATGGGCGGCCAAAGCGTACTCTGACGCGCGGGTATCTTATGTGCAGGCTGCTTGGGAAATGCTTGGAGTACCTGTGCCGGGAGCTGGCGAGGTCCGCTCAGAGGATTACGCGCGTCTGGGCAGCGGCTGGGATGCGGTCGATATGCTGGGATGCATCAACGGGGTCATCGCGTGCTCCAGGCAATTGAAGGATTACATCACTGTGAGTGCCACGGAACTTCCATTTATCTTTATTCATCGGTATACAGGCGCTGTTGTGGGTCGAGGAAGCCGCGGTGGTCGTGAAAAACATCGAGATTGCGAATAAGCTGGAATCTTCTTTCGGTGAGTCTTCCCTCATCCAACCACGGCGGCGTTGATAATTTGACAGAATGGACTCCGATGCAGCTGAGCGCTCTCCCCGACTATTTCTTCGAACGCACCACGTCTTTGTGTCTGGCTGCGGACATCTTTCTCGCGGTCGGGAATACTGGCTGCGCTGTACATCGTCGTTGGGTTGCTGACGAGATGCTGGCGTTCCTCCCTGATCGCCTAAAGACGTCGCAAACACGTCAATTTGACCCTCCTCTCGGTGTCGACATCGCTCGTCTCCGTCATCCCGATCCTCAGAGGATATCGTCCTCGACCATCGAGGATCCGACGCTTCAGGTGCAAGGATCCTGGCAGAAGCTGAGCATCCGAAAGGCAAATACACTCAGTCCTCGTCAGCGTTGTGCTGTTATGGCCTTTGACGGTGAGTTGCGTTCATCTTTTCGCCTGTCATCTGACGTCTTTTAGGCAAGCTGTACGTCCTCGGAGGCGAGAAAGTCACCGGCGGCCCATACTACCGCGATTTCTGGATGCTCGACCTAGCATCTTTGAGCGGATGGGAGCGCCTCCCCGACTTTCTGATTCCCAAACATGTCATGGGGGACTTCATCGGGTATCAAATGACCCCTCATCGCGATGGGGCCGCCTTCGTCTTCGTTGGCGTGCCCATGGTCGCCATCTTTCATCTGCGACGGCGTAAATGGGCTATGCTGGATGCAGATTTCATTCCGGACGCACAAACGCCCGAGTGGCCATACTCGCGTGTCCGAGACTACAGCGCCCATTGCGTCGGGGACAAGCTGTATATCTTTGGTGGGACATGTCCCGGGAGCGCCGTCGGCACTGATTTATTCATGGAGCTCGACATTACGAGTAAGAAGTGGCGGAGGCTGGGTGGGTCGGCGGTACCCAAGCCATCGGCGGTGTCCCCTGGCCCGCGCGCCGATTGCTCGAGTTGGGTGTCCAAAGACCAGAAGCAGATTTTCTTTTTGTTTGGAGCGGCCGATAGGAATGCTGCGATGCAGCATGGCCAGGTGCATGGGCATCTTTACTCGTACGGGTATGGTGATTTGTGGAGTTGGGATATCGGCGAGGAGAGGTGGACGAGGGAGCGGATGATTGGGAATGTGCCTTCTCCGCGCGGGGAGATGGCGTGTGTCTATGCAAGTTCCGCGTTCTCTTTCTTTCTCCTTTCCTGGTTAACCTTAGCTTGCAGCACGAAGCCCTCGACAAGGTCGTCCTTTTTGGCGGGTACAGCCCTACCGTGCCAACCTGGTTCGACGAAATGAACGACACGGTAACATACACATACTACGCTGATACCTTCATCGGCGACATGACCTCCTCTTCTTCGTCTTCGTCCACCAACCCGAACCCTGTATCCTGGCGTCAAGTCCTAACCCGCGGCTTCCCCACCTACCGTGCCCAATCATGGCTCGTCGTCGACTCCAAGACGGGCAAGATATACCTCTTCAGCGGATACAAGAACACGACGTACGTGCCGTCCAAGGGGAGTACTAGTACCGAGAACAAGGGCAAGGACAAGGACAAGCCCAAGCCCAGTTCGCGGAGTTTTCTCGATTTGTGGCAACTCAAGCTCGATGTGCCTGGTGGGCATTTCACTGGGGTTGATTTAGAGGAGGAAGCGAGGACGGCGGTGGTAGGGCCTTGGCAGAGGTGTTTTGCGTGTGGGTCGACGGGGCCGTGGAAGAAGTGCGGAGGTGTGTACATCATCCAGCGGAAATGAAGTCTGATAAGACGCCAGGCTCTGGCGTATGATTATCTGCTGCATGCTGGACTTCAACCAGGCTCGCGCCAAATGACAGAACCTT